TTTCATCCACAAATATACAGTCAATTCATTTTCCAATATATTCTGTGAAGCGCTTTGACACATCTCAAAGACGTGATAAGGCGCTATATCAAATGCAAGGATTATTTTTATTATTCAAGCGATGGCTGTTTGTGGGGCATTCTGTGTGCAAATTGTCTGCTGACTTTGCCTACAAATACACAGTCACTACAATTATACAGTAAATGATCTAAAGCACTTTGAAACTTCCTTGCGAAGTGAAAGGATGTGGAGTTCAGAGTGGAGTCAAGAGAGAGATGTCAAATTAGTAGCTGCTGAATTCAGATGGAAAAACAACCCAAAATGATAAGTCCGAATGCACAGATAACTGATCAGCAACTGTGTCATGGACCTTCTTGTTCGACTCGCTACACTCTAATTTTCTCAGCTGATCCACACGCATTATCAGAAGATGACAAATTACTCGGCTGTTCAATGGGGAGGGTGGGAGCTGAAATTAAATATAGAATTGTGGATGGCAAGAGGGACAGAGTGAAAGTGGGTCCCAGCGCTGCTGAAATTAAATTCTATCCTTTTAATCACTACTTGGCATCCAGTTATTTACTGTAATTATACACAACATTTCAAACTAAATTAAAACTGGGTACAGACATTTAAACATACTGATGACAATTGAGATTCAGTGTGAGCTTCGCTTCAATTGAAGACTTTAGTCTCCTATGTGACCTGCAAATAATAATAATAATCCTTGCAATTGATATAGCACTTTATCACGTCTTTGAGACATCTCAAAGCACTTCACAGAATATTCTATAAAGTGAATTGACTTGAATTGAATATTCTATGGGCGAAACGTTACAATATTCGTTACAATTACATTTGTACAGCACCTTTCACGTCGGGAGGACGTCCAATCACACAAATGGGAAAACTTCACGTTAGATATCTCTCAATATGGAGTGTTCACTTCTTGTAAGCCAGCGTACAGCCAAGCTGAACCCTTCCCAGCAGTGGACCCAACCTCGGAAACAGATTAATTTTTTCATCCTTTCACTGAAAGCTCCAGTACTTTACATACGACAAGAATCTCATAGGCCCATATTTCAAATGGGATCTCCAGGCTGGGACATCAATACAAGTTGCAGACACTGAAAAATTCAGAGCAACTTTTTTAAAATGGGCATAATTCAAAGTTTGAAATTGTAAATGAGAATCTGTTGAACTGCTTGCAAACTGCCTGAAACCAATTCCTTGCTGATATCCACAAGTGTTGTGTACAGAGAGCGCGAGACAGAGATGTGCTATAAGAAAATCATTCATGATCACAGTGCAACATCAGTCTCCACACACTGCGGTGAATCTAAATGAAACAGCAAGGAGTTTTCGCGCAGTAAGCTCAATTCATTAATTGCTTTTTAAAAAGAAAGTGAAGCATGTTTAATCGCTGCCTGTTGCATTGGGTGGAATGAGAAATGCACCAGTTCAGCTGAGCGGAAATAAAAGTCCTGCCTCGACCTGCCTCCTATTCCTTAATGATAGCCTGAGTTGGAGACCCGGTGACGGGGTGCACTCTGCACCACTCAGCTGCCAGATACTCACTGACTTCCACACGCAGCGAGCAAACGTGTGCCCTAATTAGAATTGTAACAGTGCTCAGAGCCCACTCATTTCTCCGCTGAAGGCTCTGCATTCCGCTCAGCAAGCCTCCCAAAGGTTGGATGCCAATATGCATTTACAATGTGTTTACGTCCATGGCAGCGACTCAGTCTGCTGGGACTTTCTATCCTCTGCAAGTCTGAACAGCTTTCTTCTTGTCGCAGTGGAAAGCAACTGACATCTGTGCGACGAGGCAGTGATGAGAGGCGAACATTTGGATTCAGACCTCCCACCAAGCACTGACTTGATTCTGATTAACGATTAACATTTAAAATTATACTTGGGGAAGACAACCTCTTAGAATCGTAGAATTATACAGCACAGAAGGAGGCCATTCGGCACATCGTGTCTCTGCCGGCTCTTTGAAGAGAGCTTCCAAATCCCCCCGTTCCCTTCCCATAGCCCTGATCAACCCCACTCCCCCTGCGCTCTCCCCATAGCCCTGATCAACCCCACTTCCCCGCTCTCTCCCCATAGCCCTGATCAACCCCACTCCCCCGCTCTCTCCCCATAGCCCTGATCAACCCCACTCCCCCGCTCTCTCCCCATAGCCCTGATCAACCCCACTCCCCCGCTTTCTCCCCATAGCCTTGATCAGCCCCACTCCCCCGCGCTCTCTCTCCATAGCCCTGATCAACCTCACTCCCCCGCGCTCTCCCCATAGCCCTGATCAACCCCACTCCCCCACTCTCTCCCCATAGCCCTGATCAACCCCACTCCCCCGCTCTCTCTCCATAGCCCTGATCAACCCCACTCCCCTGTTCTCTCCCCATAGCCCTGATCAACCCCACTCCCCCGTTCTCTCCCCATAGCCCTGCAAACTTGTCCTCCCCAAATAATTATCTACTTCTCACTTAAAAGTTGTTATCGAATCGGCTTCCACCAGCTTTTCAGGCAATGCATTCCAGATCGTAACAGCTCGCTGTGTAAAAAAAATTCTTCTCACCTCCCCTCTATTTTAAATCGGTGCCCTCGGGTTACCAACCCACCCGCCAGTGGGAATAGTTTCTCCTGTTCACTCTATCAACTCGTAATTTTGAAAACTTCTATCAAGTCTCCTCTTAACCTTCTCTGCTCCAAGAAGAATAATCCTCGCTTCTCTACCTCTCCTGATAACTGAAGTCCCTCATTCCTGGTACCATTCTGGTCAATCTCCTTTGCACCCTCTCCAATGCCTTGATATCCTTCCTAAAGTGTGGGGCCCAGAACTGAACACAGTCTCTCGCTGAGGCCTCACCAGTGTTTTATATAAAGGTTCATCATAACTTCCTGACTTGTGTATTCTATGCCCTATTTATAAAGCCCAGTATCCCGGATGCTTTTTTAACAGCTTTATCTGCCTGTGCTGCCACCTTCAAACATTTACTTATATGAAACCCAGGTCTCTCTGTTCCTTCACCCCCTTTAAGATTGTACCATCAGCTTATATTGCCTCTCCTCATTCTTCCTCACAAAATGATTCACTTCACATTTCTCCACATTAAACTTCATCTGCCACGTGTCTGCCCATGTTACTAGTCTGTCTATGTCCATTTGCAATCTGCTGCTATCTTCATCACAGTTTACTGCTTTTCCAGCTTAGTATCATCTGCAAACTTGGAAATTGTGCTCCCTATACCCAAAGTCCAGGTCATTTATATAGACACCACTGCACATTTCCCTCCAGTCAGAAAAACAACTGTTCACCACCACTCTCGGCTTTCTGTCTCCCATCCAGTTCTGTATCCTGTCCCTTTCCAACGTGAACAGCTATTTCTAGACACAACTGTGTCCAAAACTAGGCCTTGCCTCTTACTCATACCAATGTTCAATGTATACCTCGCCCAAACGCCTGGTATGTAAATGCTAGTGAAGCTTGAAGTCAAAGGTGTGAATGGCCTGTGGGGAGGATGATGATTCGATTGCCCAATTGTCCTCAGTATGCACTTGGATGGGGGAGGTGGAGGATTCCTTCAGGGTTCATGCTTCTATTCACTATCCATGTGTGGAGATGGGGTGAGGTCAGGGTTAGCTGTCCCCCACAGTGGAAAACACTGCCGACGCTAATAGTCTGGGCTCAGTGTGAACGATGGTCACCTGGGTAAAGAACTGGACCTTTAGTCCAGCACAAAAGGCTTGGGGGGAGGGTGATTGGCAAGGACACATTATTTGGTGCTATAACAGGGGGTTTGATTAGATGGGCCCAATGATCAGGATTCAATTGCCCTAGTTTCCATTGTGGGAATGATCTACAACATATGGGAATGGATGAAAAAGATAAGTAGACAAAACATTTAATGATGTTCTGATCTACATTACAAATTACAGGCCTCTGTAAGCAGCCTGGATGTGCTTTCACTTTTGCTATACAATTAGTGTAAATTCCATCCTCTCTTCACTCTGAAACAAAGTTTTTCAACTTGTAGATGTTGTTAGACGGATGTGGCGAGATAACAATGCTGCAAAAACATTTGGTGAATAAATGTCACTAACAGATGTGACAGTGTCCCTTCCCAACTCCCCCATTATCTACTGCTTCTCTATCTTCCCCCAGTATACTACACATTATTTATATGGCAAAGGGACATCTACAGTTTAACAACAGCAATTAAGAACCAAGATAGAGCTGAGCTGGGAGGGGTGTAGAGGGGAGCGGGCCAAAGGCAAAGTCAAAGAGATATATTTTTAAGACAGGTTTGAAAGTAGAGAGGGAAGCAGCGAGGTGAAGGGATTTGGAAGAGTTCCAGAGGGAGGGGACAGAAACTTTGGAAATGGTGGGGAGGAGCAGGAGCAGTGATGGCAGAGTGAAGGGAGTGTGCATCAGGAGATCAGGTAAAACCCCGCAGAAGGTGGGCCAAGGCCAGGGAGGCATTTGAAGGTTAAGGACAAGGATGTTGTAGGCAATACATTGAGGGATTGGGAGCTAGCACATTGGTGAGAACACTCGCCTCGCAAGTGAGAGGACCCAGGTTCAATTCCCCGGGTAGGGCAAAAATCTTGGACAAGTTTCCTTACTCTGCACGCCTCTGTTTATCCAGCAGTAAGTAGGAACCCAGCTGTTAGTCAAATGGCAGATCGTTTTCCGAAGGTAATAATCTCTTCAAAAAAATAAGAATTTGGTTACTCAATGCAGTATTTTGCCCACAAAATATACAATCAATGTACAGTATATTCTGTGAAGCACTTTGAGACGTCTCAACGCCATGATAATGCTCTGCATCAAATGTAAAGATTATTATAGCGAGCTGGGATACACTGCAAATCATTTCTATCCATCATACTTTTGATTACTCTTTGGCAACTGTCATGATGAAGTAGCTGAGGAACCATTTTGGTCACAATGTGGTTAGGCCTTGGGTTCCATTGTAAGAGAAGTGTATAGCTACCTGTGCCTTCTTCAGGGTTTGCTGTTGGGTTCTGATCCACTCTGTTATCGCCCTGACAAATGGACAACTGGTAGCTGTTGGCCTTCTGTACAGTCCTAAGAGAAAGAGAAAGATAAGGTTTCAGCGCCATGGGCAGTCCTCCTGATCCGAAAGGCACAATATAACTGTAAATTTGTATTGTAAGTAACGATGGCTAACAATCAGAGGCTGAAATTCCTGTTGCCGAGTAATAACACTGACGATGTTGACTCTGTAACAGCACATCATCAAAATTGTTACACGCAGCTCTGACAGAAAGCTTAGTCCTTAAAGCTGCAACCTCGACTGATTTTTTCCCCCTCCTACTGATATGTTTGGCAAGCTTCCTGCTACACCCTCCCCATTAGTGCTTTGGCTTGTAGAGTTAACAGAGGCGAGAAGGAAGAATCCCAGACCCCAGTTACGTAGCAGATCGAAGCTGGACTCGCTCAGTCCTACACTTGGCACTAATGTTTGGCAGCACAGAGTTTACTACTGTTTTTTTCTTTTACCGTGGTAACTGCTTCAAATTAGATTTAAGTTTTCAGAATTATATACAGTACATTATCTACCCAACATTACTTGTGAAACTCCAGCACAAACAGACAGACAGGAAGGGGCAACTGCTCGCTGCATAGAGACTGGGCGATGATGAGTTGGATTCAAATACACACTTCTTTCAGCTCTGGGGCTTGGGTTTCAATGCTGCACAGCCAAATGAGATGGCACGCTCAGGTCTTGGATGGGAGCCGGGAATCGGAAATGCATTGAGTCAGATATTCTCAGCCTCGCTCCCAGTTGGCACCAGTGCTCAGGACAAAAGAAAATATTGTTTGTAGCAGCTTTGGTCAAAAGGTAGTCAGGGAAGGCGAGACCATTCACTCCACTGTGGCAAAGAGAAACAGTAACATCACCAACAAAAATACCGGGGATCTGGGCTCATTCCTGTACTGTCATATATCCTCTAACAGTTTGTTTAGTGCTGAATTATGAGCAGTTGTTTTGGCTCCAAGAACGAGGTCTGAGACTGCTCACAAATCATTCCACTTAGGATCCTCCAGCTCGCACACAGTGAAGAGACTCAGCCACTGGTTTGGTCTGGATTGCAACCCACTAGCGGGAAAAAACAATATTCTCTTCAGTTATTACTCCACCCCCACCGCTCAGTCACACTGAATCTAACAGAATGAGAACAAACACTATAAGAGGATGTTTGGCAGTCTTAAAAAAATTCCTCAGCACTTTGCAAATCAACTTGGATTGTAACTGCTCGAGTGAATTAGAACAAGAGAGGAGAGTTTCCAGCTTCTTTGAGCATTACTATACTTTGCATTGAGACGCTTTAATGTAGACATCTGGCAGGTTGTGCAAGACTTTTAAAGATGATGGTCAAAGAGATTATGTTTTAGAAGGATTTTCAAGGCAGAAAGAAAGCTAACAAGGTGTTACATTTTGGTAGGAGGAATAAGGAGGTCACATATTGCCTGGAAAATAAGAAGAAAATAAGAATCTAAATGGTGTAAAGGAGCAAAGGGGTACAGATACACAAATCGCTAAAATTAGCAACGCAGGTTAAAAGGCCATAAAAAAGAAAACCAAGCACTGGAGTTCATTTCTAGAGGGATAGAAATGAAAAGCAGGGAAGTTATGGTAACCTTCTATAGAACTTGGTTAGACCACACTGTGTGCAGTTCCGGTTCCCATATTATAGAAGGGATATAGAGGCACTGGAGAAGGGGCAAAGGAGATTCACAAGGATGATCCCAGAACTGAGAGGTTAGACCTATCAAGAAAGGCTGAACATACTTGGACTCTTTTCTCTTGAAAAGAGGAGGGTAAAGAATGACCTGATAGAGGTCTTTAAAATGATGAAAGGTTTTGATAGGGTCGACAAAGGGAAAATGTTTCCACTTGTGGGGGAGACCAAAACCAGGGCCATCAATATAAAATAGTCCCAAATAGATCAAATAGGGAAGTTAGAAGAAACTTGGTGGGAATGTGGAACATGCTACCACAAGGAGTAGTTAAGATGCATTTAAGGAGAAGCTAGGAGGGAGATAGAAGGTTATGCTGATAGGGTTAGTTGAGGAAGGGCAGGAGGAGGCTCATGTAGAGCATAAACACCGGCATAGACCAGTTAGGCCAAATGGTCTGTTTCTGTGCTGTAGTTCTACGTATGTAAATCAAAGTGCACCTGGGAGTGAATTCCAGAGGCAGGATCTTGGTGGTTGAAAGCTCAGTCAATGATGGTGAAGTGGGGGGGGGGGGGGGGGGGAGGGCAGTAATAATAATGGTTGCCCTTCATAATCGAAGATGACCGTTCACAAATGTGAACACCTGATGGGTGAATTTGTTTATAGTAGCTGCTCCCCGCACAGGTAGCACAGTGTAACCCGGTGTGAAGGAATATCCAAGAAAACCAGATCACTTGCTAATCGCACAAGCAGAAACTATTACCCCCAATAAGTGATGCACCCAACGACTAACGACTGGATTCCTACTTACTGCTAGGTAAACTGAGGCATTTGGAGTAAGGAAACTTGCCGAAGGTTTTGCCCTGCCTGGGAATGGAACTCAGTTCCTCTTGCTTGTGAGGTGAGCGTGCTAACCACAGTGCTCTGGTTCTCCATACGGGGTAAGCAATAGACAGTGTCAGAGAGCAGAGTACTCGCTATTCCTGGTTACTCCCTCATTGAACTCTTCAGTTGTGTTTTGAGCTCCAGGTACAGTAACAGAGATTGGAGAGAAGCCCAGCTTGTCAGCATGGCTCAGTTTATAGTACTCAGGCTTCTGAGCTGGCACTTTTTGAGTTCTCGGCTGACACTACAGTGCTGGGGGAGCACTGCATGACTGGAGGTACCATCTTCTGGATGAGACATTGAAACAGGGGTCCCACCCGCTTCTTCAGAATCCACTATTCGAAAAATGAAGGAAGTTTCTCCCAGTGTTCTGGCCAGCCATCGCCCAGATAAAATTGATTGTTCTCTTCCTGGCAGCTTGTGGGATATTTCTGTGCACAAATTGGCTGCTGTGTTTGCCTACAAAATACAGTCCAATAAATCATGTGATGTGCTTTGACACATCCTCCCAATACTATATCACTATAGTTACTATTTATTACTATTCAAGTCCCAAAGTGATCAGTTCACATCTGCACATTACAGAAGGTCATGGAATGTGATGTCATGGAACACATTTCTTCACTGAGGGAATAACAGAATAGAAGTTCCCTAGCCAACATTAGAGCATATTTTAAGACAGAAGAGTAAACCTGGAAAAACAGAGCAAGTTCCTGAGCAGTGATTTGGGATCTGCAAGACTGATAGTGCAGCAGCAAGTGAAAAGACTGGGGGGATACAGAGCGGGGTCTATAGGACACCCCAAAAACAACTTGTGCCTTCCAAGCTAGGTAGTATCGCAGAGTGCTTAACAGTGGCAGAGCCTGAAGGTGGAGCGGGCAGGGGTGGAAAAGGAAGGTTTTCAGGCAGGACTTGAAAAAGGGGAGAGAGGGGACAATGCAGAAGGTTTCAGGGAGAGTGTTCCAGAGTTTCGGGGCACAAGTGGCTGAAAGGCGACCTCCGATGGTGGGGCGGAAGGTGCGAGGGATGAGCATGGCATGAGGGATGACCATGGCAATCGAGCAGAAGTGCCGGGTGGTGGGTTGGGGAGTGAGGAGGTGGGAGAGGTCGGGAGATGCCAGGGAGCTAATGGATTTGAACACAAGAGTGTGAGGATCTTGAAGTTGATCCATTCGGTGATGAGGAGCCAGTGGAGCCTGGGCCAGAACTGCTGAGATGTGGGTACGGAGTTAGGTCCGGGTCAGTATGTGGGTGGCAGAGTTTTGAATAAGCTGATTTTTTGAATGGTGGAGCTGGGGAGACCAGCGAGGAGTGTGTTTGAGTAATCCAGGCGGGAGGTGACAAATGCATGCACGAGGGTTTCAGCTGCATTTGGGGTAAGGAACGGTCGGAGGAGGGCAATGTGGCGGAGGTGGAAGAAGGCGGTCCTGGTCAGGGACCGAATGTGGGGGAGGAGGACAGCCGGGGGTTGAACCGGATGCCTAGATTACGCACTGGTTTGGTGAGTGTGAGGGAGAGCCCAGAGAGGTTGAGGAGTTAGTAATAATAATAATAATCCTTGCATTTGATATAGCGCTTTTCACGTCGGGAGGACGTCCCAAAGCGCTTCACAGAACACACTGTAAAGTGAATTGACTGTATATTTGTGGGCGAACACGGCAGCCAATTGCGCACAGCAATGTCCCACAAACAGTCGTAGATTGAAAATGACCAATTTTATTATTGTTTTTGGTTTTGGAGGGATTATTATTAGGCTCTGTGTGGAGTAAGGAAACTTGCCCAAGGTTTCGCCCCGACCTGCCTGGAATTGAACTCAGGTTTCTCACTTGCATAGCGCGTGCTCTAACCACTGAGCTACAGAACTCCACAGAAGTTTAGATCCACAGGAGCGAAGACTCTGACAGGAGCCAAGGAGTATGGCTTCTGTCTTGTCCATATTCAGCTGCAGGAAGTTTACACTCATCCAGGCCTTGATGTCTGCCAGACAAGCTGATAGGACATCGGTGGAGTTGGGAGTTGATGCTGGGAGGAGGCAAAGTAGATTTGTGTGTCATCCGCAAACATGTGGAAGTTTACCCCGTGTCTGCGGATGACATTGTCAAGGGGGAGCATATAGATTAGGAAAAGGAGGCTAAGGATGGAGCTCTGAGGTACCCCGCAGGTGACCGGGCGGGGGCTGGAGGAGAAACCATTTGCCCAGATGAAGTGGAGGCGGTTGGTTAAGTAGGACTCAAACCATGCGAGTGCTGTTCCACTAAGGTGGATTAGGGAGGAGAGGCAGTGGAGGAGGATGGCATGATCAACTGTGTCAAATGCAGCAGAGAAATTCAGGAGGATGAGGAGGCAGAGGGAGCCCTGATCACACATAGAGAGGATGTCGTTTGTGAGGTATCTGTAAGACTTCCGCAAAACACCACGCTGATGTGATTTAAAAAAATATATACAAAGGCAACTTGTAGCCTTCAGGACAGATGAAGTTGCATATTTTTTTGTGGTCA